TATAATATACATGTAAAAACCTAATGCACCCAATATATAACAGGCATTAATGTATACACTAAACCAGATCTGCTATATTCAAATATAGTCTAAGTATATTTACTAAAAATATACTTAAATAGAGTTTCTCAGCTCTCCCAGGTGCAGAGAGATGCCCAGCAGGACTTGTGATGACAATGCAGCACCTACAGTTGAGCGAGCTGCTTGCCTGCATGTTTAGACAGATAAAATGTTTCAGACCTTGCCCTTGCCGTGCCCCAGTTTCCCAGTGTCAGTGCAGAAGCGATGCGGATAGGGAATGGGCAGTACTCAAATCACCTGAAGCAAATGCCGGTCTCAGCTATCCCAATCACTTACAGACTCTTAAGGGCAAGAGAGGGATGAACTCAGCCATCCTCAACTCAGGCCAGTTGGAGACTTACTCTGGGAAGCTGGCAGTAAAAGCAGACCCCATTTGCTGTCCCACCCCTCCAACATACCACTCCAAATATGTGGGAGATGTACTGCATGCCAAACTGCTGGCTCTGGGGCGGCCAAAACTCGAGGAAGCTCTCCACGTCAGCTTGGAGCTCCTTCTTCTCCTCCTCACCAAAGCTGTCCACGTGGTTCTGCAGGTCATCGATGGAGACCAGGCAGCCCTCTGCCAGTCCACTGCCTTCCCTCTCTATCTTCCACATGATGCGGGCAGCCAGCCTGGCCAGGAGAGAGCCCCAGATGTTAACACCACCAACAACCACTGCAAGGACGATGCAGTGGGAACATTGAAAGGACATCAAAATTCATTTCATCGTGTGCAGACAGACAGACCAAGACAGGCTCAGCATCAGATGGCTGATGGCTGGTCACCACCCATGTGCTTTTGAAGGAAAGGGAGATGCAGAGTTTTGCCCCAGCACCTATGTTCTCATCTGGAGAAGTGCTACAGTCCCCCCAGGTTCCCAGCCCTCCACAACAACTCTCATTTCCTTGGAGATTCCTCTCATTTTCTTATGACAGAGCCAGGATGTGAAGCCAAATCAATGTATCCTTCGATCAGTGAGTCCATCCCCTCTTCCACTTTTCCACCTACTCCCCACTTTCCCACACCTCCTAAGCCACCCCGGGTGGGTTTGCCTCACCACGTTCAGCTGCAGTAGAGTTTTTGAGGTCCAGCACCAAAAATAAAAGCAGGACCACAACCCCCTCACAGCCCAGATGCTCCTCCAGGTCCCCATCACCTCAGCTCAGGGACGCTTCTGGCCTTTCCCAAACCATCTCCCACCACCACCCTGTCCAAATCAGGCCACCCAGCTCTTCCTTGCCACCCTCCAGAGGGATGCCCTGTCCTCTCCCACTGTCCCCAGGCTGCTGGCTCAGCCCCTGGGGTCCAGCTCTCACCTGATGTTTTCGGTGGGTGCCTTGCCATGCTTCTTGATGGCGGAACACTCATTTTTGTGGTTCAGCCAAGCTGCCCTCTGGCAGGTCCGGTCGCAGTAGTAGGCAAACTTGCATTGGCCGCAGCGGTGGAGCCTCTCCTGCCGTTTGAAGCAGGTGTGGCAGATGAGGTGTGTCAGGCTGGAAGGACAGAAAGACCCCTTGGCTCATACCTGGGTGAAGGGCCAGCTCCAAGGGTTCTGCCAGCTTTGTGTCCCTGGGCTCCCCACACCCACTAAGGATGGACACCCTGAGATTTTTTGGGAGGACAGAGAAACAGCCCACCCAGCTTAATCCTTCTGCCCTTGCCCAGCGCTGTTGCTTTTCTGTTTGGCCACGCCAAAGAGACAAATATTTTGTTTAAAGGAGGACAGCAATAAAGCATTCCCCAGCCCTCAGCCCTCTTGTCTGCAGCTCATCTGCTCTTCCTCAGCACCGCTGCTGCTAACAGGACTTTCAGTCTGTTTTCTTTTTCTGTCTGCCCCGTGCTGAAGCACCAGCCACCGATGTGCGAGCAGAAAGCATATGCCTAATGAGTCTGTAGCTTCAGAGAGCACCAAGAAGAATGTGCAGGCAAAGAGCCAGCCTGAGATCTTCACCTGCCTGCAAAGCCTCTGAGTTTTGCTCAAGTGAAACCCCTCCTGAGCACTAAGGCTTTCCTGGACCCCACATGGGCCACCAACAAGCCCAAGAAACTTAGGAGAACATTGGGCAAGAGGGGCCAAATGGGAGCATGGCTCTAAGCCATTCTAACTGCTCTCCTAAGCTTTCCTTAGGCACAGGCACACTGTGGGGATAAAAATATACATCAGAAATGCTCTGCTAGTGAGCAGACCAGAGGTGTATCACAATGAAGGAGACCGATAGATCAAAGTGGTTGCGTAGGAAAACCCTGTGTTTGTACTGCTTGAAACCAAGATATGTTTCTATGGATTAAAAAGCAGATTTGCTTGTCACTTTTTTTGCCACTGGGCCAAAGATGTAGCTGTACTGGGCACATTGCATTTGGCAATTGTGGCATTGTGTTGGAAATCACAAGACGAAACCAAGAAAACTGCCTCCTTCAAGGTAGATCTCATCACAGAGTCGTTTATGTCTTCTCCTCCTTCCTTCGGTCGCGGTACATGTCTCCTGGCTGTCCACCATCAGCAGATCGCAGCACAGAGCCCCAGACCAGGTGGGCTGGGGGTTCTCCTTGTCCCAGCGATTCCAGGCAGACATTTACCATGGATTAGTGAAGGTCTGAGAGACGAGGGCAGGCTTCCAGCCATTCAGCAGGCCCCCAAGCACAAATGCTGAGGTACAAATGGATTTTCAGCTGCCCAGGGATGGACAAGGAACACCAAACAGCTGAAGACAGAGGAAAGATGAACTTTCAAGAGCTCACAGGAGCACTGGCTGGGGTAGGACATGGGGTGGGCTGGCTGTAATGCCAAGCTTAGGGAGAAGTACTTGCATTTATGATTGCTGTAAGATTTTATTAATAAATCTAGGGGAACTTTCATCTTCACAAGGCTGGTATGTTGCTGAGCTGAGAATATCAATGATTTACTGCTGGTCAGTGGCCCAGAATATGCCACCCGTGAAGGTGTTGTTAAACATTACAGGTAATGAGCATGGTGCCTGATGTGCGGATGTGGTCTGCTCTCAGGGCATGAAGTCGTCACCTTGGTCTGCCGTCAGCTTTAGCACTGTGCTCTTTAGGCCACTTAAAGCCTTCCTGCAGATGGACTACTGATGAAGATTTCTCCTCCAAATCCAAAAGCCTGACATGTCTTTCTCTGGTGCCAGCAGGAGTAAGTGCTGCCCACCGGCTATTCCTGCTTCTGGCTCTGCAGTTTAGCTATTTGAGAGGTTACTGAGTTAGAGGGTGACAGGATAACTGGGAAACACCTTCCAAAAGGAGCAGGTTGCTTCTTCAGGCAGGGTTCAAAACAGGATTTCCAAGAAGCATCCTACAATTGTATGTCTGTAACTATAACCCAGGCCGGGGGAGGAATGTATCAGAGGATACTGCTGAAGAAGTCTAACCTCATGTCCTCTCTCCAAGAGTGTCTGGGGTCCCAGACCAAGGGGAAACGTCCCCCACGTGCCCAGCTGCTTGCTCCTAGGACTTAATTCATTGGGAAGGAGAGGGAGACACTTTGGTCTCCTGCCCAAACAACTTTGGGACTTTCCCCTTGCTGTTAGAGAAGGCTTTTCACTGCCTGATTTGGTGCCCCCAGCTGTCTGCTTCTCCGAGCAACTGCCCACTTTATTTCTGCCTCCAGCCAGGCTCCACAGTACGGGAGAATTTAAATTCCCATCACTTAGACACTGCTGGTCCCAGGAGGGAGGTTCTCCTCTCTACAAAAAGCTCACTGACCACAGAGGCTTCATTACCAAGGGAACATTATCATCGCCCACAGCCCCTAGTGGGGAAACTGAGGCACAAGGAAACAAAAAATGTCTTGCAGATCACACAAGGAGGCTGTGTCACAGGTGGGAATCAGACCCACAGGCCCAGCATCCCCAGCCCCAAGACTGTCCTGCTTCTCCACTATCCAGATATATAAAACCCCATATGTATCCATATTTATATCTATCACAGTACACTTAAAATGTACTTTTGTTCCTCTGGCACTACTGCGTGAGCTGTTGACACAATCCACCCGGCGCCTTGGCTCTTGCAGGATTAAGAGGGCCATTGATTTAAAGCAGAGGGCCATTGATTTAAAGCAAGATGACGCGCAGCAGACAAAACCGCATGTGAAAATAAGGTTTGGAAAATGACAGTGAGCAGTGCTGGAGGAAGCCTGACGCAAGGTAAGCAGCCAGGATGAGGCAGGGGAGAGCACGTGTCCAGGAAGGGGGATGCAGCCAGCTCCATTAAGTCAAATGAAAGAGCTGGTAGCTGGTGAGAAATGCGAGGCTGTGCTCTGTCAGCTGTCAAGTCAGGGGGGGTAGAGAGGTGCAAGAGAGATTACACTCCTTGTAAGGCAAAGGAGAGCCAGAGAGCTGATAAAACCTGCGTGGTTATGTTGTGCCGGGCAGCACGGAGAGATAACTCGCACAGGGAATGGGGGTCTCTCCTGCCTCCTGAGTGCTCCTGAGTCAGAAAGCGAAAAGGCAATTAAAGAAGTTTCCCTTCCCTGTAAAGAGGAGTGACAGGTTGGAGGAGAATACGTTGCAGCAAAACCCAAGTCCTCAAACAGAGGCTTTTCTCTCCCCAGTTCCCTCTCTGAGAACAGAAAAATACTGACATGTTAGCTTTGCATTTTGCATTTTATTGCATAAGGTGTCCAGAGTTTCCAAAGCAATGTCAACTGGTGGAACTTACTGCCAGCCCAGGAAAGTCCTCATTTCTAAGGAGATGCAGAAATGCACAAAAACATGTTATACGAGACTTCCCGAGGAGGTGAAGGAACAGTTCTTGTGGTATTGAAACTGCAGACATAACTGGTAGGTATATGAAATACCGCATTTCTCACAAAACCCTTGCGGGATCCTCCCTGCTCAGCAATGGTCTCAAAGAAGACTGGATTTATTGATAACGTGCATTACCAGGACTCCACAGGGCTGGAGGTTTGAACCCTCAGAGACTCAGTGCTCAGCTTCCCTTGCTTTAACACAGGGACAATACAACTGCTTTCTGCTGTGTCTATGTGCACCATGGCCTCTGCTATGATCTCTGGCCACTCATTCATTGCCATCTTCCACATAGTGAGAACTTCTTTTTTCCCTCCTGCCCCAAAGCAAGATCTTCATTAGCACAGTGATGTTTCCAGCCTGTCAAAGCCTTGCCAGGTCAGGGATTTAGGACTGACTTGGAAGGCAGGTGCCACTGACCAACTCACTAAATTACTTTCTTGGGAGACTCAGGTTTCCTTGGCGTTTCATCCAAGCATCAACCGAGCTGAACTCTCAGGGCCTCATGAGCTCTGATGTTATGTAGATGAGACACACAACTACTACTAATCCTGGATGTAGCTACAGTCACAAAAGCAATAATTCAATGTCCCAGCCAACAAATGCAAGAGGTGACAGAGCACTGTCAACTAAACCATGGCTCCTGCAAGCACGGCTCTCAGTGAAAGCAGAAGAAGCAAATAGCTCTTGTGACTGCTTGGATTGGATTCAGATGGATTAAGATCTGTTGGACCTGCCAGGACAGAGGGCTGAGCACTGCTATAGGAAATATATTAACCTCATCTCTGAGACATGCACAACTCAAACATCTGCCAACCATTTTCCATCCAGCACCCACAGCATCTCATTCACTGATCTGGAAAAGCCAGGTGAGATGGCTATAGTGCAAAGGAATAGAGGAGGATTTCACTGAATAGCTAATGGACACAGTGAGATGCTCACAAACTATTTAACATGTGTTTATCCCACTCTGTACATCACAGATGACACACACAAATGACCTAACTTACACCTAAGTCCACTTGATTCATATTTATTATTGGCTGGCTAAGCACCTCTCTCCTCAATGTCCTGCAGAGGACAGCATAAGAATAGCCTAAGATGTAGGCAAAGTCCACTTGGCTGTCAAAGCAGAGGCTGTAACACTTCATTAAACACAACAGCCTAAGGAAATGCACCTACTCTTTCAGCACTGCAAAGAAAAGGGAGGTAGTCAATAGCTGACTTCTACTGAGGATACCTATAACGGTGAATTATTAGCACCAGAACAGTTTCGGTCCTTTAAAAAAGGGGATTGGAACGTAATACTTTTATCTTTAAAATGTCAGGGATGACACATCCTAGTTTGTCTGATTTGAGTGGAGGATTTATTTTAGACTACTTTTAGACTATTTCATATTTAATCTTTCATTACAAGCTTTCTCAGCCTCTTTTTAAAGAGGAGTGTGTGTGTGGTTTCCTTCAAAAAAGCTAGGGTTTCTCCCAGATTTTATTTAAGCTTTTGAACAAATGAGATAATAACAAAAAAATCAAACCCCAGAAAATTTTAAACAATGTGAATACGATCACATTAGCTCTCAGTTGTTATTGGTATCAACTCAAAGAATTTGCTTCCATAATCTTTTCAGAGTCATACTGTTACGGAAAATTTTGCATTTCTTATATCCCTAGGTCACCCCAGCTACAACAATGGAGTTCCCCATATTTCTCTTGGAAATGCTCTTGGGCCTGCT